TATATATATATAAAAGAGATTACGCTTTAGGTTGGAGTGCCAACAAGCTATATGTTCATTTTAATTTTTTAATTAGCTTTGTTAGAAAATTTGATAGGGAAATTAATTTTTTAGCTTGTGGCGAGAAAAATAATTTCTCTAGTTTGGCCTCAATAGAGAAAATATTTTTTCTCAAAAAAACATTTGCCCCAGATTTTGGATCCAAATGATGGAAATAGATATTTCTGGCGAAACCACGTATGAGATCCATTGTTAACCATTGCTTGTGGAGCCATATTCTTAGAATACCTATATCTACAGCTGGTGCAATAAGCACGTGGTTTTATAATACACCAAGTAGATAAAATAATTTTTTCACTTTTGAGTCTAAAATGATTCGATTAGGAGCCCGTACACCAAGATTTAGGGCCATCAATTGGAGTAAGGAATTATTATCGATTATCGCCATGCGTAAAGAGGGAGGGAGAAGGGTCATAAGTGTGGTCATAAGCGTCTATACTATAAAATTAACTTTTAAAGGAATGAACTCTTTAGGAATGGGCGGCTCAAAAATGTGAGGAATGAACTCTTTAAGAAACTTGGTAAGAGATAAAAATGTGAATTGGAAAATATCTTGATATGTCCACAGGTCGGCGAGTTTCCATCCTTGTTGTAGTCCATATTCCTTAGATTAGTTGCATGCTAATGTATATGAAGACCCAGTTCATCAATGAGCCATGTTTTGGGGCTTGAGCCAAAAAATGAACTCGACACTAAGCATCATGGAGTTGGAGCATGCCTTTCTTGTATGGGTGCATCATCATCTTCATCACCGTCGGCGGGAGTTGGAGCATGCCTTTCTTGTATGGGTGCATCATCATCTTCATCACCGTCGGCGGGAGTTGGAGCATGCCTTTCTTGTATGGGTGCATAATCATCATCACCGTCGGCAGATACTGAAGTACTATGAGGTGGTGAACCATCCTCAATGGAAAGGCATTCTGCATTGGTATGGGAGCTCAAAGGGTTCTCTGTAACTGTTGGGGCAAGAGCAACTTCTCTATTCTCCTCTGTTTCTCCCTCTTTCCTTTGTTTTCTTCGAAAAGTATGCAAAGAAAGATCTCTCTCAATATAGTGTTTAGCCATGGCGACAATTCTTGGCCAAAAGCCTTTGGTCATCGGTGTTGTTTCACTTACCGTTCTATTCCAATGCTCATTGCAACTGCCAATGAAGAAGATGATTAGAGCTCCCATGGAAGCTGTTCCAACCATGAGGAAGAGGCCCCAAAAGCTATCTAGGCTCAAGCCCTTGGAGGAGGGGGAATATGACCAGCTTGAACTTGTGTCTTGTTTGGGAAACCATCGTTTCTCCAATGAAACCATTGTCTCCCCTTCTGTTACATTGAGGACAGAGGAGGAAATGTCGGAAAGTAGTAGGGAGTTTTTTGGGAAAACCTGAGAAATAGAGGCCGAATGGTTATTTACAAAAAAAAAAAAAAGAAAGAAAAAGGAAGTCCGGCACTTATAGGTGTTGGAATTCAAATCTGATAACTTGTAGTGTATCATATAGTTTTTTTTTTTTCTTTTTTGAGAATGAGAATGTACCATATAGTTTAAAAAAATAAAATAAAATTAAACTTTGATTCTAGTGAATAGCACACCCCCATTTTTCCAAATTCATACCCAATGGACAAGGGTCAATGTGACCTCCACATGCCAAAAATAAATGGTTTTAATACTTCTCCAAATAAAAACCTATAAGAGAAATGGTTAAGTGGTGGAAGGATGGTATAGGCTCATGGAAATAATGGTTTTTAGTCTACAAAATTGATACATAACTGATGCATATTAGGATCTCGTAAAGAAAAGGGCAATCTTATAAATCATAACATTTTGTGTCTATGAAGGTCTTAATACAAAACTCCAATATTTTTAACCATTTCACTTAGAACTTCATTTCTTTGATGAAAAACGTTTTCTGTATCATTCCAATTTTATAGGATATCTCTGAAGAGACGACGGAAGCCTTTATCGTTCAAAATTTATCAGGTGGAAGCGCCCCCTCCACAGACACAGACACAGACACAGACACACACAGAGGGAGAGAGAGAGAGAGAGAGAGAGAGAGAGAGAGAGCTTACAAAGCCAAAGCCTCCAGTCCTGTAAGTTGGCCCGACCATCATGAAATCGTTGGTGCGGTTCGAGAGAAAGCTCTTGATATAAGGAATCTCATCAAATATTGCAGCAACCCCACCATGAGAGCTTCCCTTTGACAATGCCTCAACATATTCTTCAGCACTGTCAAATTCTATAAGCTTTGACCGTGAAATGCCCAACTTGATTAAAAGATCCTCTACAAAAGAATTACCTTGGTATCCCACAATATCTTCATTTCTTATCAGAGTTTGAACATCTGTGACAGTGGGTTGTAATTGCTCAACAGTGAGAATTGAGGCCAAATTTGCCGTGTAACTGTTGGTTAATATGAGCAAGAGAAAGAGCCATAGGATGATCACGAATCGTGTCAAATTGCTAGTTATTTTATCTCCTGGACATCATCGACTACAAGTTAGAGAAATGAATTCATAAACTTTGAAAAATAAATTCATCTAAGTGATGACCTATGTTTTATTGAATAAATATGCTTACCTAATATAACATTAGAGATTAAGCTCATCCAATAGAACTGTCACATAGAAGGTAGCTATTTTAAAAGGTTTGAGAAGGTCGATGCTTTATAAATATTCTTTTTTTAAGAAGTTTGTTTTTTGTTTTTTTTTCTGTTTCAGTTTTTGTTTTTTTTTTGTTTTTCTTTAATACATTGTGAGAGGGGTTTTTTGATTTAGAAGTGCTTTGAAAATGCATGGAACATTTGTTTGACAAAAATGACAAGTTTTATTCGATATTTCCAAAAATTGATTTTTGTTTTAAAGACAGCCATAATTTGGGGATAGGACATAATTGAAAAGCGATTTTGTGAGCCGCAATCACAGACTATATTGCGCTGATTCAATCCAAGCATATCCAATAATCAATGTATGTAGGGGACCTTCTTATTTTTTATTTCCTCAATAAATATTTTTGAGTTCAAATTTTGTGGAAAGGTGTGTCAAACCTAAGAGCGTACAAATAAATATTAAAAATTATCCACATAATGAAAAAGATAAAATTGCTTGATGGAATTGGAGTTTCTATTTTTTTATTATTATTACCAAAACTAGATTTAGATTATATAATATTTTATTTTATTTATTTTCATTGTCTTTGTCTCTCTTTCTCTACATTTGGCACGTACCAACATGAGCAATCTAGATCGTTAGATATGAGCCATCCGTTGGATTGGGTACCATAGTATAAGCCTGGCTGCTCACATAATAAAGGTCTGGCATACATTTCCCTCGATTCCGACTTCGAGTCAAAAAATGGGCAGTTACTATTCATTTACTGGCTCGGGTACAACCCCATCTAGGATTAATTTAGGACCCCAAATTTTGGGAATGTAACCTCTATAACCTTAGATTAACTCCATACCTCTTATTTTTGCTATTTATTTTTTAAGAGACCCAATGATCTAAACTATTTTTTAGAGTATAAAATATATATATGTTTTATGTTATAACCCCTTTAAACCACTTTGATCATGTATTGTTTATCTCAACAACTTATGAAATGACTCTCTTCCCTCAAAACTTAACCTTCATTTAACTCCATTAACCTATGCCCTCTTTCTCTTTAAATTCCATCTCTTGCCTCTCTCTCTAAACTTCCGTCTCTCTCGGCCCTTTCTCTCGTGTCTTTCTCGCCCCTCTATCTCTCTCTCTCAAATGCTCAAATTGTAGAGACCCTTTCACATCCTTTCTCTGTTTCTCTAATGCCCAAATAGCAGAGACCCACCTTCTCTCTCTCTCCCTTTCAAGCCTCTCTCTCTCTCCCTTTCAAGCCCTAGTCCGATTTTCTCAAAAAAGCCCTCCAACTTCTTTGCACCTTTTAATCGCAAGTTGCTCTTATTCAAATCAACTAATAGAACCTTAGCTATCAAATCAGCTCTAATTTCTCTCGACTCAAAGCAATCTTCTTCTTTAATAGTAATTCTATCTTTTTCTTTCACTTGTTCGATCAGACTTTGTTTAACAAAATCCTTGGGTAGGTTTTTGGAGCTGAAATTTTGGAACAAAATATGGAAAGACAATGGGGATTTGGTCTGAATTTTGGTATTTTAGTGCAATTTTTGGGCTCATTTGAAGAAAATGGATTGAAATTTTGTTTGCAATACAAGCATGAAGTTTTGAATTTTTTACACAAAAAAGTCTCACGACTTTAGGCTACATTTTGAGAATTTCAGTACAAATTTTCTTGAAACTTTCACATTTTTCTTTTTCATTTTTCAGAAATTCTCCTCCATTTTTTGACACACTTTAGCCGAGTTCACCAAAATTTGCAAACTTAAATTGAAGATTTTGACTGAAACTTCTTAGAATCTTATCTGTTTTTTTCCATCAATCTCAATTTGGAATATAGGGCCATTACACGAGTTTCAGTTTTTGTAAGGGATTGAAACTTATTATAGCTGAAAATTGAAATTGGGAAGCAAAAATACAAAAGTTTAAGATAATGAAATCAACTGTATTGCTGGTCTAATATGATACTTTTGATGGCTTTCTTCGGTGAATTCACCATTTTTCTTCCTTATAAATGTTTGGATTTAATTTTGTTGTCTCATATTATACTTTCTCTCTATAAAATTTATGGTATGGTGGCTGCTCATCGCAATTACCCATGCTAGTTCTAATCTTGAAGGAACATTGGACTTTGGAGAAATTGTGAAACTCGTCTCCCTTCAAATGATCTACTTGAGGAATCAATCAACAGCATCTCAATAACATCCTACGATCAAGCCTGAATCGATGATCATTCAAGATCGCAAGAACATCCTAGAGAGAGACGATGGGAGGGTGGATCTCTCGTATTTGGGTATTAGCGAGAGAGAGAAGTAGAAGGGTCTTTGCGATTTGGGCGTTTGCGAGAGAGAGAAGTAGAAGGGTCTCTACGATTTGGGTATTTGCGAGAGAGATGGGCGAAAGTGAAGGGAGTCATTTCATAAGTTGTTGAGATCAATAATACATGGTTAAAGAAGTTTAGGGGGTTGGAAGATAAAAAATATAGAGACCTCATGCTATTAGAAATAGTTTAAATCCTTAGGTCTTCTAAGAAATAGGCAGCAAAAGTAGGGGATATGGAGATATTTACCACAATAAAATCTTAGTTGTACCTTCGTTGCACTTAAAGCAAGTGGTAGGCCCAAAAAGATGTGGTTGGAAGTAGTCTGAAAAGTTATGGAGACTTATAGACCCACTGAAGGTATGACGTGTAATATAGTAGAATGACATACCAAAATTTGTGTAGTCCACCTCATTTAATCGAGAAAAGACTACGTGATTAATCTCATTGCATTTAAAAATAATGTTTCAAGATTTCTTTTGAGAATAATAATCTAGTTATTCTTCGGAAGTTCCCAACTTTTCAGATTGGGAAAACACTTAATAAAGGTGTTATGACCGAGGGCGTAGATGTACACCATGCTCCACTAGGCGGGAAATACACAATGGGTACCTCGCTACCCACCCTTTCCATGATCCACACGTTAAGTAGGATAGAAAGTAGGTAATACAAAGGGCTGACACAAGACAACGAGAAGGGAACAAAACGTCAAGATCCATGGGCCTAACTTTTTTATGTGTGTGATTCACAAGACTGCATAGCAGTTGGTTCAAAATTCATCGGTCTACGTTGAAAATTTCTTTTTCCGATAGGAAAAAGGTACGAATCACTTTTATGGGGAACCAAA